CATCTACCCCGCCTACGTCAAGCCCGGGAGCTCTGAGTCGGGACGATTCAGGGAAAGCCGCTAGGGCATGGGCGGGTGCAGTTTCGCGCCCCACCGCTAAGATTGAGGATCGGAAGTCTGCATGAGGAAACCATTTCCTTCCTGGTACTAGAGGGACCCACAGTGGATATCATCCTGGGACGCCCCTGGCTCACTCTCCATTCTCCAGAGATGGGAACCCTGTGATATCACTCGCTGGAGCGGGTCATGTCAGAGAAACTGTCTCCGCACTCTACATGTACCGCTTCCACGCCCCGTCAGGGCTCAAGTTGCTTCCACCCTGGTTGAAAGCCCAACACCGCAGGAGACACCGACCGTCCCATCTGATTATACGGCGTTCCAGGATGTCTTTAGTAAGCAGGCAGCCACTCGCCTTCCACCGCACCGGCCATGGGACTGTGCCATCGACTTGCTGCCTGGGGCAAAACTCCCTAAGGGTAGAGTATACCCACTGTCCATCCCGGAGCGCAAGGCCATGGAGGATTACATCCAGGAGGCTCTTAAGCAAGGTTTCATCCACCCATCCACCTCCCCGGCAGCCTCGTGCTTCTTCTTTGTGGGCAAGAAGGACGGGGGCTTGAGGCCGTGCATCGACTATCGCATGCTGAACTCTCAGACGGTGAAACTGCCATACCTACTTCCCCTGGTCCCAGCCGCCCTGGAGGAACTCCGTGGAGCTCGTGTCTTCTCCAAACTGGACCTGCGGAGCGCATACAACCTCGTTCGCATCAGGGAGGGCGACGAGTTGAAGATGGCGTTCATTACCCCCGCAGGCCACTATGAATTCCGGGTCATGCCGTATGGCCTGCCAAACTCCCCGTCCATCTTCCAAATCTTCATGAACGAGGTGTTCCGGGAGTTCCCCAATAAGTTTGTGATTGTCTACATTGATGATATTCTCATATACTCCCGGAACCTGGCCGAACATCGCCACCACGTTACGCAGGTCCTTCAGAAGCTACGTCAACATCAGCTGTACCTGAAATTGGAGAAGTGCGAATTCTATCGCTCCTCGGTCCAGTTCCTCGGATATGTCATCATCAAGGAGGGTATCCAGATGGACCAGGGGAAGGTGAAGGCCATCAGGGAATGGCCGCTTCCACAGTCGGTGAAGGAGTTACAAAGGTTCCTGGGGTTCACAAACTTCTATCGACGGTTTGTGAAGCGTTTCAGCATGCTCAAGGCCCCCCTTACTTCCATGCTACGAGGCAAACCCAAGTCCCTGTCCTGGAACAGCCTTGCCCGCGAAACCTTCAACCAGCTCAAGGAGGCCTTCAGCACGGCCCCCATCCTTCACCATCCGGATCCCTAGGTACCTTTTGTAGTAGAAGTTGACGCCTCTACCACCGGCGTCGGGGCCGTGCTGTCACAGCAATGTCGGAAACCTCCAATCCTCCATCCATGCGCTTACTTCTCCAGGAAACTGAACCCGGCAGAGCAAAATTAGGACATCGGCAATCGGGAACTGCTCGCCATCAAACTGGCCCTGGAGGAGTGGCGTCACTGGCTGGAGGGAGCCCATCACCCTTTCTTAGTGATCACGGATAATAAGAATCTCCAATATCTCCATGAAGCCAAAATACTCAACCCTCGTCAAGCCCGATGGGCTTTGTTTTTCACAAGGTTCCAATTCACAATCACTTACAAACCTGGAAATCGCAATTGCAAGGCTGATGTGCTATCCCGTCTTCACTCTCCCGTCAGTCCAACGGAACCAGAACCCATTCTCCCTCCAGCCCTGATCGTCAGCCCCATACAGTGGAACATCAACCAGGACATCCGTGACGCCACTCGCACCGAACCTGCTCCGCCGGGCTGCCCAGAAAGGAAGACGTACGTTCCCACCTCCCAGCGTCAGACCCTTCTGGGCTCAGTGCATGAAGTACCGGGCTCTGGACACCCAGGCAGGCAACGGACCCTCTCGCTCCTCCAGGCTCGGTACTGGTGGCCCAGTATGACCCGGGATGTCAACAGGTACGTCCAAAGCTGTTCAGTCTGGCAAGCTCGTCCCACTGCCCGTGCCCCGTAGACCTTGGTCCCACATTAGAGTGGATTTCGTCACTGACCTCCCTGCCTCTGATGGTAACACCTGTATCCTTGTTGTGGTTGATCGCTTCTCCAAGGCCTGTAAGTTCATCCCTCTCAAGGGTCTCCCAACTGCATTTGACACAGCTGAATGCCTATTCACTCAGGTCTTCCAGAACTATGGCCTCCCGGAGGAGGTCGTTTCAGACCGAGGGCCCCAGTTCGTCTCCCGAGTATGGAAGGCCTTCTTCCGGTTACTGGGAGTGACCGTAAGCTTGTCCTCGGGGTACCATCCACAGACAAATGGCCAGACTGAACGAAGGGTCCAGGAGCTCGGACGTTACCTCCGGTCATACTGCCATGATGATCAGCACAGCTGGAGCCGCTACCTTCCTTGGGCCGAGTATGCACAAAACTCCCTCCGTCAGAATACCACCGGCCTGACCCCTTTCCAGTGCATGCTCGGCTACCAACCCCCACTCTTCCCCTGGACAGAAGAGCCCTCGGAGGTTCCAGCTGTGGACTACTGGTTTCGAGAGCGCGAGAGAGTGTGGGACTCCGCTCGGGACACGTCCAGCTCCAACAAGCAGTGCGGAGGCATAAGTTCTTCGCAGATGCCCGGCATACCGCTACTCCCACCTACCAGCCTGGAGAGCTGGTTTGGCTTTCCACCCGGGATCTGCGCCTCCGCCTGCCCTGTAAAAAGCTGAGTCCCCGCTATATTGATCCGTTCTCAATACAGAGGCAGATCAACCAAATCACCTACCTTCTGCAACTTCCACCCAGGTACAAGATTCACCCCTCATTCCACATCTCACTCCTCAAACCTTGTTCTTCTTCCTCCTCCAGATCCACCGAGCCAGAAGCACCCCTTCCTCCTGAGGTTCTGGATCAGCCCTCGGTGTACCAGGTGAAAGAAATCCTGAATTCGCGGCGACAGGGCGGCCGGTTACAATATCTTATTGACTGGGAAGGATACGGACTGGAGGAGAGATCCTGGGTGGCCCGCGACGACATACTGGAGCCATCCCTGCTGGAAGAATTCCACCGCAACCATCCAAACGTCCCGCACCCCGAAGTCGCGGTCGCCCTCGTCGCCGCATGGGGGCATCAGGAGGAGGGGGTAATGTCAGGAAATCATCACAATCACTCACGTCAGCACAGTCACCTCCTCTGACACACACCAGATCCCAATCACCCGAATTCTGATCACCTGCACCTGCATCACCAATTAAGCCCGCTATATCTTCTCACTCCACTCAGTATTTCAGTGTCCGGTCTACCGTTCACTACCTGAACATTGCCAGACTCCTTACAAGCTTTACTAACTGTTGTTTCCTTACCTCCAGAAGTCAATTCAGTCTCCACTATTCCGATTCTCCTCAGCCCCGGTTCATCTCCAGGATTCCTACTACTATCATACCCAGATTACCAAGAAGCTAAGATAGCCAGAACTCTCTCATATCTCTCTTACTCACCTGCCTTCGATCCTAGCCATCACAGCATTGACAATAAACCCCTCTGTTTACCTGAACTCCTCTTGTCTCTTGCCTGTTTGTGACAGCGCTCACTGATGTAAAACGGAAGCAGTTCCGGGGGAATTACGTATGAGCCGCTCAGAAGTGACTCACGTGGAGAGATCGAAATAAAACAACGGTCACTAATTAGAAGTACAAAACGAGGATTTGTAAAGAAGAATGTCGGAGGATTTCGATATAAGCAAAGAGGAGACTTGTTTTCCTTTGCTAAAGTAAGGAAACTTTGCTTCTTTTGATCCTGTAAACAAACGTTGGTTTTCACGAGACACCCGCTGAGTACAACGATAGAGCTTGAAAGATCAAAGACAATTTTTTATATAACTCCGACTGGATTCGTCTGAAAGAAGAAAGTCATATACACCTAGGATGCATCGGGGCTGAGTAAAACGCAGCCTAATTTAAATTTTTGGGTGAACTAACCCTTTAAAGCAGCACTATGTAACTTTAGGCGCTCTAGTAGTGGTTAATAAACAGAACTGCACACATCCCGCGGAAGAACATTCCAACCGGAGC